GGGCTGGAAATCGAGGAGAGTCCTGTTTCTGACTGCCCTGGGGTCAGCGGCATAATGAGACTGACAGGCAGAATTGGGCCCACTTGACTACTTTATAAGTGATAGGTTGTTCCGGCCGGTTATTTTCTACATCTCGAAAACAAGGACATACTACCATAGATGTTTTAGTTTTTGCAGCAGGTTCTCATGTAGCTCAGGCTTGTCTTGAGCTTGCTATGTAAGTAAGGATGGCCTTGAACTCCTTCTGATCCTCTTGCCTCCCTTTCCCACGTTTGGTATTATAGGACTGTACTAGCATGTCTGAAAATGTTTGATATGAAAAGAATTTTCTTGGGCTGAGAATTGGCTCAGTGGCTAAGAGCACTGGCTATCTTCCTGGCAGGGTGGGGGTGGAGGTGGGGTTGGCTGTTCAGGTTCAATTGTCAGCACCCACATGGCATCTTACAACCCTCTGTAACTTCAGTTCCAGGGGATCCAGCAACCTCTTCTGGCATCCATGGTCAATAGGCATGGATTGCACATGGTGTACAAACATACCTGCAGTCAAAATGCTCATTCCATAAAATAAAGTGAAGACTTTTCTTGGAAAGGAGATGCTGGGTCTTCATGAGTAACATTCAATGTTAATTCACTTTCCTTTTCATTTTGTCAACTTCAGTAGACTACTTACCAGACCAACTTTGGCAAACTATTTCCCCAAGATTTTTTAAAGTGAAAATTAGGACAGCATTACTGATTTTTAGATACTGAATTTTAAATTTGGTACCAAACTAGCTCATAGCACAGGCTCTGTTGGACAGGGCCATGGTTGATTTTAGTTAAAATTTTCTTGACATAGGCTGGCCATGTGTCCAGTGTGTGTCAGATGTGCAGATAATTCATAGAATTGTATCCTTAGGTGAGTTCACTGTTTCATCCGGCTTTGTACTTAGAGCTAAACAGGATAGGTCTGCACACATAGGCAACATGGCGACAGGACTGTAGACCTGTAGCACGTTACTTACATACTGAATGCTCTGGTGGTTCTGACAAAGTGGCAAGAGTCTGTGTCCAAAGCCATCAAGTAACAGTGTAACAGCATCAAGAAAACACAGGTAATAAGTATAGCATGACAGCTTGCTCTGGGGGAGCCGGACACCTGGACTGTCACTACAGACAGACAATCAGACATGGCATGGCGTTCTCAGACTACACTTGGGATCTGTTGTTGTTGGGTTAGTTTTTTAAGACATGGTCTCTCTGTGTAACCCTGACTGTTCTGGAACTCCTTTTGTAAACTAGCCTGGCCCCAAACTCCGAGATCTGCCTGCGTCTGCCTTCCAAGTGCTGGGGTTAAAGCATGCACTATTACCTACTGGCTAGACTACACTTTAAATGTTTTTTCATTAACAGTAAATTAACGCCAGGCAGTGGTGGCACACGACTTTAATCCCAGCACTTGGGAGGAAGAGGCAGGCGGATTTCTGAGTTTGAGGCCAGCCTGGTCTATAGAGTGAGTTCCAGGACAACCAGGGCTACACAGAGAAACCCTGTATTGAAAAACAATAAACAAACAAACAAACAAACAAACCTCAGCTCGTCTTATCTTGGTGGTTTTTAGTTGTTTGTTTTTTTGGAAGAAAACAGGCTTATTGAGTATCCTGTAGGGTCAGTGTGCCGGGAAGTAATGTGAGTACAGCATACAGACTCACCATGCAGCCCTGGCTGGGGGCAACTCACTATGTAGACCAGAGTAGTCTGAGCTCAGAGGTCCTCTTGCCTCTGTTGGGATTACAGGCATGGCCACCATTCCTGGCAAACTTTCTATTCTTTTGCACTTGCATTTAGATTGAAATATAAACACATTTTATGGTATTTATTTTATATTCATATTCTGTAATCTTTTTTTTCTTTCCCCGAGACAGGGTTTCTCTATATAGCCCTGGCTGTCCTGGAATTCACTCTGTAGACCAGGCTGACCTTGAACTCAGAAATCCACCTGCCTCTGCCTCCCAAGTGCTGGAATTAAAGGCGTGAGCCACCACTGCCCAAATCTATTTTTAATTTTTCTTTTTTACATTAATTTTTTTTTTTTTTTTGCTAAAATTTAACTCTACTCGCCACCCCCACATACACATGCCTAGACTTGCATTTATGCCTCGGATCAGAATCATTCATGACACCTCCTTCGAGGTCCATGTCACACCCTCCTGGAAGGCGAGCTGCAGTAAAGCACACAGAACTGTCCCCTCCTGTGATGACAGCGACACTGTGGGGCACCTGGACAGCCTGTTTGAGGTGTCTTCTTCCGAACCAGCCAGGGTGCTTTGCTTTGTTTTGCTTTCTCCCTTTCTCCCCAGGTTTGTTGGTGGCAGAGAATGAACTATGAACATTCCTCTCTGGTAATAAAACCCTCTTGGTGTGGGGTCCTATTTAACTCTGTTCAGAGCTTGTTGGGTCTTCAAAAGCGTCTGCTAGGCCCTTCGTTGGGAATTCTCTGGGCTTTTCTTTCTGTACTTGCCTTTCTCTGGTCTCTTCTTCCACTGTTGGTTCCTGTTTCAACCCCAGGAAATCTGTGGTCCCACCACACATGTAGTCTGTCATTGACCACTTTTATGTACTTGTCTGTCTATGAAAGAAACACATCACGATCGTGTATGTGGTAGAATGATGGAAAACCTGCTAAGCAGGGTGGTGCATGTCTTTAGGCCCAGCAGAGGAAGCAGAAGCGGGGCCTAAACAAGGCTTGTATCTTGTGTTCAAGGCTGACTTTGTCTACATAGTGATTCCAGGCCGATCAGTGAGACCCTGTTTTTACCCCCTTCCCCACAAAAAACGCTAATAATTTTCCTGGGATCAGGGAGATGATTCAGTTGGTAAAGTGCCTGCCATTCAGGCATGAGAACTGGACCTCAATTTGAAGAACCCACATTAAAAAAGAAAGAAAAGCCCAGCTTTGGAGGCATGCTTGTATCCCAGCAGGGGAGGGGATGGTGGGGAAGTCCCTTGTGCTCTAGGGGCTGAGCTCTAGGCCAGTAAGAGGCCAGCTCTTTTTTTTTTTTTCTTTTTTCTTTTTGTTTTTTTGAGACAGGGTTTCTCTGTGTAGTCCTGGCTGTCCTGGAACTCACTCTGTAGACCAGGCTGGCCTCGAACTCAGAAATCCACCTGCCTCTGCCTCCCAAGTGCTGAGGTTAAAGGCGTGCGCCACCACCGCCCGGCTAAGAGGCCAGCTCTTAAAAAACAAAAAGTTGATGGTTCTTGAAGAACAACGCCTGAGGTAGTTCTCTGGCCTCCACGTGTGAATGCAAACACACACACACACCAAAAGAATAAGTACACTAGTAACCAGAAACCATTTTGTGTGGTAGCATGTATACTTTGTTAACTCCAACACTATCTAGACTGCATGTGTGACAAGAGAGTTACAGGGTCAGAACTACACACCTGAGCTTTCTGTCTTCAGAACAGAAAAGTTAGCTTGCTTGAGGAATACTCTGAGGTATTGTATTGCACTACCTAGAGATTTTACCCCCTCCCCATGATGTCTCTATGTATGTATGTGGTATTCTGGAAACTGAGCACTGGGCTTTGTGTGAGGTAGGTGCTCTATCATATCACCAAGTCATACCCTTCCCCAGTAAGAAGAAACTGAGAATCCCAGCAGCACAAAGCTGGGTGTGTGGACACACCTATAATCCTAGCACTTGAGAGGCTGAGGCCATGCTGGACTCCAAAGCACCATGCCAGCCAGGGCTGTTCTGCAAGGTGTGGCTTCCCAAAGCAAAACAGAAACGAAAACTTAGATTTCGGCAACACAAGTTCATAACAGGTGAGAACTGGTATTTTTTGTGGCTTACTCAAAAAAAAAAAAAAAAAAAAAAAAAAAGGTCAGACCAAGGCTCTGCTGGGTCATGGAGCAGACGTACAGAACATCAGAATAATCCGGCCTGGTAGTGCAGCCTGCAGTCCCAGCAGGGCTAGGTAGGAGGATTGAGAGTTGTGGGCATCCTGGGCTACAGAGTCAGACTCTCTCAAACCAGCACTAGAGCCTCAGATGAACTGAACTTGTTGGTTTTCAGGTCTCAAAAGGAGACCAGCTAGAGCTTGGCTCTAGTGCAGAAGTAAATTCACGTAAGGTTATGTACATGTGAGGAGCTTGTCAGTGGATAACCTGGGGCACTTCCATGTACAGTGGGCCTGGAGACATTGTTCATGTACTCGATGGGAACACACAGCTAGCGTTCACATTGATGACTGTTTTTAAGGTGGACTTCAGTTTACGTACACATGCATTGTGTCCTTTTTTTCTCTTAAAAGAAAACAACTAAATAACAGTGTAAGTTATGTGTGGCTAAGCAGAAATTCTAATGTTGGCATCCAAACTAGGGTTTTATAAATTCTGACTCAATTTATCCTGAAAGCCAGAACTTTTTCCAAGCTGAGGTTCAGAGTAAGGCGTTAACATGGCTACAGGGCTGGGGGTGTCACTCCATGCTAGTGCCTTTGCCTGTCATGCGTGAGGGTTCAGCATAGGATCCTCAGCTCTGGGTGAGGAAAGTGCTTCTCCCTCTTGACACTGGCTTGTGTGATAGTGCAGCCTTTAGCCTTTTGGAATTGTTCTAGATCATTTCTTCCACCTCAGAAAATGGTACCCATCACCTTGAGAACCCGTGTGACAAGGTGGGCTACTCAGTGAGTCTCCTGTGAAGTAGGAGGCTGCTGGTCGGAGGTGCAGAAAGAGGCTAGGGCAGCACCTTAGGTTCTCCATCCGCACACTCCCACCCTGTTACACTCCAAGACAAATGATAAGGCATCAAGTTTCTCCCTTCCTCTGTGAGCAGCGAGACAGAAGGCATCTGCAGCATCCCTGACAGTAAGAAGGGCTAGCAACCTAGACCTCAAACTTCCAAGCTGTTCACCTGGTCTGTGATGTTCATGTGGAAGAGCTCTTAGCCCCTAGTTGAGCCTTGTTTGGGGCTTGCTGGATCACTGCCCTCTAACACCGTTTTCCATTTTTGCAGGTACTGGTTTTGGATTAGGAATTGTTTTCTCCCTCACCTTCTTTAAGAGTAAGTGACTTTGGCTCCTCGCTACAGTGTCTGTGCCAACCCTGCCATCCTGTCCACTGTCGACTGAGGTAGATGGAAACTGGGTGAGGTCTGCATAAGGTGGGCCTCTCCAGTGTCCCTGGAGGCAGTGAGTCAGGGCTGTCTGTGTCTAATGCATGGCATTCCATTTCACGCTGGCCAGGCTGCATGGCCACATAGTTCTTAAGTGATCTGGAGATGTGGCTTGCTGGTAGTAAAGGCAAGTGGGCCAGGAATGCCCCTGCTTGTTCCCAAGAGTCTGAGCAATGGGCAAACAGGATCCCCTTCTTGGGAAAACTTGAAGTTTGAGTATTGACTAGAAACCAAACAGGTTACCTTGACCTCTTTCCATGAAGAGCTGACAAGGACCGGAGCTAGAGGATTGTGGGTGTATGTGAGTGAGCTCCGTGGTGTACTGTGTATAACCAAGGTTTATGAAATTAGAAATTAAACAATTCAAGCACCTGACCAATGGGTGTTCCTCTGACAAGGCTAAGAAACTATAGTTCAGGTGCACAAATGACAGACTGGGCTATTTGCATCAAATGTAGCAGCCCAGGCACCTAATAAATGTGCTGGATGGATTACAGCGTTGTATGCTTGCCTGTCACGTGTCAGCAATATGTCTGCTAAGGATTTGTGAGCACACATCTGAGGCGGAGGCTTTATCTGCTCTTCACAATTCCCTGTTGGGATTTCTCTTTTTCTGCTCAATAGGAAGAATGTGGCCATTAGCCTTTGGTTCTGGCGTGGGATTGGGGATGGCCTACTCCAACTGTCAGCATGACTTTCAGGCTCCGTATCTTCTACATGGAAAATACGTCAAAGTGAGTACAGAATCGATAACTCCCTTGACAAAATTCTCTAAAAGTTTACTAGTTTTATTGTTTTATGTTTGTGTTTATTTTATGCATTTTACATGTATGTCTGTGTACCATGTGCATGCTGGTACCCACAGAGGCTAGAAAAAGTACATGAGATCCCCTGAGACTGGAGTTATAGATGCTTGTGAGCCACCGTGTGAGTGTTGCACCAAAGACCTCAGTAAGAGCCTTCAGTGCTTCTGCCTGATGTCGTGCAAGAGGCCGACTGCTGCACGACCTGGTGGCAGGCTGCCCTCTACTCCGTCTTCTGCACCCTCCTGGCAGCAGAATTTGGCTCTGCAGGTGGGCAGCAAGGAGCAGGCCTAGCCTGGGTCTTTCCGTTGTTGTGTTTCCATTGTTCCAAGCTGAGCTGTGCTGGATGATGGATCAGCGGTGATTCCGCATATGAGATGGTTAATGGCTGGGAGGTACTGTGGAAAATGTTACAGTTCCTACAGCCTTGCACACGCTGCTCTCAAATGGCTGTAACTTCATTTGGACTTGAGTCTGTGCCTGGATGTTGTCATCCTTCTCTCTGCCTAGGAACCAAATCCCATTGGAGGCTTATGTGGGATGGCTGTATTGTGATAACTGCTGGGCAAGCACTGGTCAGGTCCTCTGTACCTCCCTGGGGACTTTCTTCATAGTCTTTCTTCCTCCCTTCCCAGTGGATTGTGGGAGAGGTTCTGTGTCCTCACTCAGCAGAGGGGAAGAGTCTTACAGAGGTGAGGGGGGTTCCAGTGACCAGAGTTAGGCTGCTGCCTCAGCTGTGCTTGGCTCTCACCTGCGACCTCCTGGGTCGGAACTGACTGTCAATGGCCGCGCCTTCCTTCCTCTCTTCTCCCTCTCAGGCTGGGACCTCTGCTGTGACACAGATGGAAACAGAAAGTTTGCAGTGATGGAGAGCCATTGGTCCTAGGGTTGGATGGGGCTGCAGCAGGTGGTGTCAGAGCATCTCCTGCCTGTTCTAACTCAATGTCCTTGCTTCATAGGAGCAGTGACTTATGCTGAGAACATCCCAGCGGGAGGAAAGAGAAACCATGTTTATTCCTCAGGAATACTGAAGTGCCCGGAGTGTGCTGACGTCCTGTGACGGTGCCATCAGCAACGCTTTCAACTCCAGCCACTGTTTGTGTTTGAAACCAAGTCTGTTGCTTTTGTATCATCTCTTTGGAAATTGTAAGGAGGTCTTAAATAAATTAAAAACGGGAAGCCCAATGCAAGGCCTTTATTCCTTTATGTTGCAGGAGGCTTCTCTTTGAATGGCCTAGCTGTGGCCTCTGTGACCTCCTGAAGACACAGGGATGCCCTCCCTTCTCCCCTAATGCACAGTTGTCCTTCCCACCCCAAGACTGGTGGTACCCCTCCGAGTGCTGACGACCATGGTGAAGTCTTTAGCAGCACTTTCCTGCTGGTGCTCTCTGCCTGCGCCCTGCCTCAGTGCGCCAGTCTGCCACACCTGCTGTGCCGAGGTCTGCTCCAGGCTGTAGGTCCCCGTGCTGCATGGGGCTCTGACTGACAGTGTGGAGTTGGTGGCTACAGCCTGGATGGAAGGACATGCTGAGGTTTGAGGACAAATGGCCACTGCATTTCCCGTCTGTCTGTCCTTGTTGGTTTGTGAGGCATTTCTTCTGATGTGTGCAGCACGCCTGTGCTCGGGCTTTTGTAGGTGTCCACTGTGAGTGCTCTGGGTTATGGAAGTGCTTGTAGCTGGGAAAGGACAGACAGTTCATGAGCTACAGAGAGCAAAGGGGGCAGCTGGAGGGACATCAGCCAGCATGGGCACGTTGGTCCTTAGAAGAGCTTTAGTGAGTAAGTTCAGGGTGGCCTCCCCTCTCTTCGGCATTTTTCTCCCTTATTCTTTATTCTATTGCCCTTTCCAGAAACATGTTTGGGGCTGTGGACCTGAACAGGCAGCAGGGGTGCTCTGCCAAAGATGGGCTGTGCCCAGGACAGAAGTCATGGCCATGGCATGCCTCAGCCGCTTGGCTGTTTTCACACGGCCTCTTAACCCATGCAGAGCAGCCCGTGCTATTAGTAGGAAAATAGTCCTGCGCTGGGTTCCTCCCTCCAGTTCCTCTTTGTATTAGCTTTTTATATAGTGCCCCTCTAGTTCCCCTACTTTTCTGCCTTCAGAGTTGAGTCACAGCCCTCCCCCATTCAAAAACACAAAGGGAAAACTGTGCCCCCGAGTCTCTAGGTAGAGGTAGAAAATGACAGGAACATGGAATGGACAGGGACATCTCTGGTTTTAGGCCACTGCTGCACCAATCTGGTCCCTTAGCACCCTGAGATTCTGCAGAAGTGCCCCAGGAACCAGCACCCCATTCCCTACTCCCCCCACCCCCAGAGGAAGTGATTCTGGGCCAGGCAAAGGAAGACCCGCTGTTTGTCTTGGTCCCAGAGCGTTTTGTATCCCCACCTTGTAGCTCTTGCAGAGGGCCTTGGAAGCACAAAGCCTGATCTTGTCCTATAGTCCCTGCCCCTACCTCAGATGAGCCTTCAGAAGCTTCAGAGCTTGTTGGCAAGGGGGAAGCATTCTATTCTACTTGAAGTTTCATTCGAAATTCAAATCCTCTGGAGGCTCTGCTCCCTTGTGGGGTTGGGAAGCTTTGGCTTCACCTCTCCTCTGCCCTTCTGGAATCAAACATGAGGAAATGCATGGGTTTAAGAATCCAGTGATGGGCACCCAGCTGGGCACAGGATACTAGAGCAAAGCTGTGGCGCCCCAGAAGTGGCCTGCGCTGCCAACATACATAAATACATACAGTCTGAATTTGACACTGTGTAATTTAGCCCAGAACAATATGTATTTTGAACTCATTTAGGTGGGATGACTTTTGCATTCTGAGTGGCTGGAGAGCCTTTATTGGGCCACATTTACTGTCTACAGAGGCATGCCTTTGTTCTGAGACACGGCTTTTGGAGCATTTTGCTGAGCTGTCCCTTTGAGTGAATGTCACCCTCTCCCCGCTTTCAAAAGGCCCAAGAATGCAGTCCCACAATCCTGCTGCAGAAAACAGACACTGGGCTAAGGGAGATGGCTTTTGTTTTTGTTGTTGGTTCTCAAACCTCTGTTTACATTTTTTTTTTAATGTAACCAACCCATAATTGCATTTTGCTTGTCATGGTTCAATCTGATTGCATTGTTGGAAGGACTATTTTTGAGCTTGTCCAAATAAACTCTGCAGAGTATTTCCACAAGGATGTAGTCCATGGAGCTGGGTCTGCCTTCCTCTGGACTGAATGGTTTCCTGTTGCATGCTTTCTAATTGCATACATGCAAAGGGGTGGAAGGGAGAGAGTGGAAATTCTAAGTGCTGAAAAAAAAAATGTTAAATTTAGGAGAATAAGCTCATCTGGAAGCCATCACCACTTCCTTCAAGTATGCTGAGAGCAACGGGTGGTATCCGGGCACATGTCCTGGGCAGGCGCAGGGGAGATGTCCTGTGACCAGCAAGCAGCTCTGTGTGGGATAGGGCAGCAGTAGAGGAACAGAGGGGTGGGAAGGAGGGAGAGGCAGGGCCATGCAGTAGGAAACTTCAGACCTACAGGCTGGACAGTCAAGCCCTGGACCCATGTGCCTGCTCCATCCCTCAGTTGCCAGGCACCAGCGGGAGGTTCCAAGTCTTCAAACTTCAGTTTCTTCATCTGTAATGTAGGAGATCGGGGGAATTCCCACCCCGCAGGCTTTGCAGTTCATTTGGGTGTGCTCTTAGCACAGGTGTATAAAAACACTGTCTAGGGCAGAGCTCGGGGCTCAGTGACAGAGTGCCTGAAGGGCAAGAGGCCCTAGGTTCCATCCTCAGCACACAGTGCATGGGATTAGGGCAGGCAAGCAGGTGGTTTCAGAGAACTGATAGGGTTGAAATCCACAAGCTCCAGGGAGAGAGAACAGGGCGAGCAGCTGTGAACCAGCCACTCTGTGGAAAATGCCTGCTACTCATGGAGAAGTTCAGGATGAGTCAAGGTGTCCTGCCCCCACTCTGTTTCGTTCCGATGCATATTGGTGAGACCATGCAACTTCCAGCCTGAAATCTGAAGTAGCTTTCTGACTTGTTCATCGAACGCATGGACTTCTGTAGCAGGCTAGGATGGAAAGGGGAGAAGAGAATGGCAAAGAAACGGGGAAACCTGCAAAACAGCTTCACGCCTGCCCAAGAACCATGGCTGCTGCTGAGTTGTGTGTCCAGGATTATAGACTTTGTTTGACCCTCACTTTGGGAATTCCGAACTCGGTGTGTGTGTGTGTGTGTGAGAGATGTCAGCAGTTCTTGGGGGGGGGGGGGGGAGGATAAGTGAGGACTCTTCAATAGTGAAGAAATAGAGGGTAGAAAGTCAGCCTTAGTAGCAATATCCTTAAATACTCACGAGGGACAGCCAGATGGATCTCTGTGAGTTCCAGGCCAGCTGGGGCTACAGAGTAAGACCCTGTCTCTTTAAAAAATTTAAAGGGGGAGGGGTGAGGAAAGGTAGGAAAAAAAGTTGATTTTCATTACCATTATTTTTTCTTTTCTGTCTAGCCAGTTTGAGGCAACATTACTTTGATTGCCTTAGATCATAGAGTTAACACTGATGAAGCATGTCTCACAGACTAGTTACTGGGCGCGCGCACACACACACACACACACACACACACACACACACACACCCCACACTTACTTCCCATAGCAGTCCCAGGAGAGGACAGCATTATCCTCACTTTGTAGATGAAGACAAGTTCGAGAGCTAAGCGAACTCACTCAAGAACAAGCAGGTAGTGGGTAACAATGCGGGACCTTTGGCCTTGACCCACAACCCAGGCTCTTGCCCGGGCTGTGCTCCTCAAAAACACTGCCTCCGGTTCTTGCCAAGTGGTTTCATTTTGTTTAAACTTGATTTACTTAAACCGATTGAAACCAGTTTAAACTTGATTTGACATGCTTTTAAGCCAGTTGTAGTTGGTAGTGGCCTATTATTGATTTGAAATTGGTAAGAATAGTTTGAAATCAGCTTTTTTTTTTCTAGGTCCATTTATTATTCAGAAATAGTCCTGGGGTTTTTTTCTTTAGACTCTGTGTGTGTGTGTGTGTGTGTGTGTGTGTGAGTACAGGTGCTTAAAGTGCCAGCAAAGGTCAGAAGAGGTCATAGCATCCTCTAGAATTGGAGTTGCAGGTGTCTGTGAGCTGCCACATGGCTGCTGGGGACCAAACTTTGGGTCTTCTGCAAAAGCAGCAGCCAGTTCCCTTACCTGCGGAGCTATCCCCCCAGCCCCATGCTTGGTTTTCATGTATGTGAGTACACTGTCTGTTTTCAGACACACCAGAAGAGGGTATCGGATCCCATTACAGGTGGTTGTGAGCCACCATGTGGTTGCTGGGAATTGAACTCAGGACCTCTGGTGCTGTAGTCAGTGCTCTTAACTGCTGAGCCATCTCTCCAGCCCCCCTTGCTTGGTTTTGATGTGGGTTCTGGGGACCCAAACTCAGGTCCTCATGCTTGCCTGGGAGGCTCTTTACTGACCACACCATCTCCACAGTCCTATGGAGTGACATGTTTGAAACCTTAAATTTCCTGTCTCTTAAACCACCATCCACTTCAGCATCCATATAACTTTCTAAACCTTATTCCTTATTTTGTGAGACAGCCTTTCCTAGCCCCCTAGCCTTCTTTTTTTACAGAGTCTCATAAATATGTATTCTTGCCTGTCCTGGAACTCAATACTCAGACCAAGATGGCTTCCAACTCAGTGATCTGCTTGCCTCTGCCTCCCAAGTGCTGGGATTAAAGGCATGCCACCCCCTTTTAGTAATACTTTTAAGTCCCTAAACCTAACTTGCTTGTTCAGTGGTGGCCTTTACTGATCAATGCCACTCAGTGACTTTCAATCTGAAGAAAGGCTTTCCCTTGACTATGGAGCAGTGGTTCTCAACCTTCCTGATGTTGCAACACTTCAGTGTTGTGGTGACCAACAACATAAAGTGATTTTTGTTACCACTTCATAACTGTAATTTTGCTACTGTCATGAGTAATGTAAATATCTGTGTTTTCCGATGGTCTCAGGCAACTCCCATGAAAGGGTTTATTCAACCCCACAGGTTGAGCGTGCCCCACCCTGACATAGCGTGTTCTCTGCTCATCCCAGCACCTGGTTCGCTGTGTGATCACTCACCCAATCTCCTGGACTGTGCTGAGCCCTGTCTCTTCGAGCATCACAGTACAGATGGGAGGTTGAACGC